TTTGGAGCACTTCGTCTGGAGCACGTTCATCCGGAGCACTTTCATCTGGAGCACTTTGTTTGGAGAACTTTCGTCTGGAGCACTTTGCCTGGAGCACTTTCGTCTGGAGCACTTTGTCTAGAGCCCTTCGTTTGGAGCACTTCGTCTGGTGCTTTTCGGTCTAGAGCACGTTCGTTTAGAGCACTTTGTCTGGAGCACTTTGTCTGGAGCTTTTCCATCTAGAGCACGTTTGTCTTGAGCACTTCGTCTGGAGCACATAGTCCTGAGTATTTTCATCTGGTGAACTTCGTCTGGTGCACTTTTGTCTGAAGCACTTTCGTCTGGACCACTTCATCTGGAGCACTTCGTCCTGTGCACTTTCGTCTAGAGCACTTTCGTGTGGAGAACTTTCTGGAGCACTTTCATCTAGAGAACTTTATCTGGAGCACCTGGTCAAGAGCACATGGTCTGGAGCACTTGGTCTAGAGCAATTCGTCTAGTGCACATTCGTCCAGAGCACTTCGTCTGGAGCACTTTCATTTGGAGCACTTCGTCTGGAGCAGTTTCGTTTGGAGCACTTTGTCTCGTGCTTTTTCATCTGGAGCACCTTCGTCTGGTGCATTTCTTCTTGTGCACTTTGTTTGGAGCACTTTGTCTGGAGCACTTCTTCTGGTGCACTTTTGTCGAGACCACTTCTTCTGGAGCGATTCGTCTGGAGCACTTTGTTTGGAGCACTTGGTCTGGAGCACTTGGTCTGGAGCACTTGTTCTTGAGCACTCCTTCTGGAGCACTTAGTCTGGTGCACTTTCATCTGGAGCACTTCGTCTAGGGCACGTTCATCTGGAGCACTTTCGTCTGGAGCACTTCGTCTGGAGCACTTTGTCTAGAGAACCTCGTCTAGTGCGCGTTCGTTTGGAGCACTTTTGTCCGGAATTCTTTCGTCTAAAGCACTTTCATCTGGAGCACTTCGTCTGGAGCACTTCGCATGGAGCACTTCGCCTGGAGCACTTCGTTTAGAGCACTTCATCTGGAGCACGTCGTCTGGTGCCTTTTCGTCTGGAGCACGTTCGTTTGGAGCACTTCGTCTGGAGCACTTTCGGCTGGAGCACTTTGTCTGGTGCTATTTCGTCTGGAGCACTTCGTCTGGTGAAGGTCGTCTAGTACACTTTCGTCTGGTGCACTTCGTCTTGTGCACTTCGTCAGAAGCACTTTGTCTGTAGCACTTCGTCTGGTGCACTTTTGTCTAGAGCACTTTCGTCTGGAACACTTTCTTCTGGAGCACTTTGTTTGGAGCACTTGGTCAGGAGCACTTGGTTATCTTGCTATTGAGCGTGCTCAAACATCTTGCTTTTGGCATGCATGGTTAGTGTATGGGCTCAAGAGCATGCTGGCCTGTGCTCGGATGCAAAACCCAGGTGTGTGGGAAGTTATGGTATCTCAAGCGTTTTCGCATATCCAAGTTCTTGAGTGGTACCCCACCAAACAACAACCTGTTTTTTCATTTAAGATATTGTTCACCAAAACTCTTTTCCTTTGCATACATAGCTAGTGTATGGCCTCAAGAGCATCATGGCTTGTGCTCGGATCCAAAATCCGAGTGGTTGGGAAGTTATAGTATGCCTACTATTGTCCCATGACTAAACACTATAGCATTGCCCAACAAAACCTCTACTTTTCATTGTGTTTTTGAGATACAAAGCAATTTTTAAGCCCTTGTTTTGCATGAGAAGTTAGTGCATGGGGTCAAGATAATCGTGGCTTGTGCTCAGATCAAAAACCTAAGTGTGCAAAAAGTTATGGTATTGTATGTGCTCCTTTTTCCAGTACTTGAGCATTTTCCTACGAGACCTCAACTTGGTTATCTTGCTATTGAGCGTGCTCAAACATCTTGCTTTTGGCATGCATGGTTAGTGTATGGGCTCAAGAGCATGCTGGCCTGTGCTCGGATGCAAAACCCAGGTTTGTGGGAAGTTATGGTATCTCAAGCGTTTTCGCATATCCAAGTTCTTGAGTGGTACCCCACCAAACAACAACCTGTTTTTTCATTTAGGATATTGTTCACCAAAACTCTTTCCCTTTGCATACATAGCTAGTGTATGGCCTCAAGAGCATCATGGCTTGTGCTCAGATCCAAAATCCAAGTGGTTGGGAAGTTATAGTATGCCTACTATTGTCCCAAGACTAAACACTATAGCATTGCCCAACAAAACCTCAACTTTTCATTTTGTTTTTCAGATACAAAGCAATTTCTAAGCCCTTGTTTTGCATGAGCAGTTAGTGCATGGGGTCAAGATAATTGTGGCTTGTGCTCAGATCGAAAGCCTAAGTGTGCAAAAAGTTATGGTATTGTATGTGCTCCTTTTTCCAGTACTTGAGCATTTTCCTACGAGACCTCAACTTGGTTATCTTGCTATTGAGCGTGCTCAAACATCTTGCTTTTGGCATGCATGGTTAGTGTATGGGCTCAAGAGCATGCTGGCCTGTGCTCGGATGCAAAACCCAGGTGTGTGGGAAGTTATGGTATCTCAAGCGTTTTCGCTTCGCTTTGCTTTGCTTCGCTTAGCTTCGCTTCACTGCGCATACCTGTGCTTAGCTTCGCATTGATTCTCTTAGCTTCGCTTCGCTTCTCTATGCTTCTCTTTGCTTTGCTTAGCTTCACTTAGCTTCACTTAGCTTCGCTTCGCTTCTCTTTGCTTCTCTTCGCTTCGCTTTGCTTCGCTTAGCTTCGCTTCCCTTAGCTTCGCTTAGCTTTGCTTCGCTTCGCATAGTTGCGCTTAGCTTTGCTTTGCTTCTCTTAGCTTCGCTTCTCTTCGCTTTGCTTCTCTTTGCTTCTCTTTGCTTCGCTTCGCTTACCTTCGCTTACCTTCGCTTCGCTTCGCCTCACTTCGCTTAGCTTCGCTTCTCTTCGCTTAGCTTCGCTTAGATTCGCTTAGCTTCGCTTCGCTTCGCTTAGCTTTGCTTTCCTTAGCTTCCGTTTGCTTCTCATAGCTTCGCTTAGCCTTGCTTCGCTTCGCATAGCTGCGCTTAGCTTAGCTTCGCTTCGCTTCCCTTAGCTTCAGTTCGCTTCCCTTAGCTTCACTTCGCTTCGCTAAGCTTAGCTAAGCTTAGCTAAGCTTTGCTTCGTTTCACTTTGCTTCGCTTAGCTTCGCCTAGCTTCACTTCGCTTCGCTTAGCTTCGCTTCGCTTCGCTTAGCTTCGCTTCGCTTCCCTTAGCTTCGGTTCGCTTCCCTTAGCTTCGCTTCGCTTCTCTTCGCTTCGCTTCGCTTCGCTTCGCTCTGCTTCGCTTAGCTTCGCTAAGCTTCGCATACCTGCGCTTAGCTTTGCTTCGTTTCGCTTCGCTCTCTGTGCTTCTCTTCGCTTCGCTTCGCTTAGCTTCCCTTCGCTTCTCTTCGCTTCTCTTCGCGCTTAGCTTCGTTTTGCTTCGCTTAGCTTCGCTTTGCCTCTCTTCGCTTCTCTTCGTTTTGCTTCGCTTAGCTTCGCTTCGCTTCGCTTAGCTTCGCTACGCTTAGCTTCACTTAACCTCGCTTTGCTTCACGTAGCTTCGCTTTGCTTAGCTTCGCTTTGCTTCGCTTAGCTTCGCTTAGCTCGTTTAGCTTCGCTTGGCTTTGCTTTGCTTCTCTTCGCTTAGCTTTGCTTGGCTTCGCTTAGCTTCACTTCGCTTCGCTTTGCTTCGCTTAACTTCGCTTAGATTCGCTTGGCTTTGCTTCGCTTCGCTTAGCTTTGCTTCGCTTCGCTTAGCTTCGCTTCGCTTCGCTTAGCTTTCCTTAGCTTCGCTTCGCTTCGCTTCCCTTAGCTTCGGTTCGCTTCTTATAGCTTCACTTCGCTTCGCTTAGCTTCGCTTAGCTTCGGTTCGCTTCGCATAGCTGCGCTTTGCTTCGTTTTGCTTCTCTTAGCTTTGTTTCTCTTCGCTACACTTCTCTTTGCTTCTCTTCGCTTCGCTTCCCTTCGCTTAGCTTCGCTTTTCTTCGCTTAGCTTTGCCTAGATTCGCTTAGCTTCGCTTTGCTTGGCTTAGCTTCGCTTAGATTCGCTTAGCTTCGCTTCGCTTTTCTTAGCTTCCCTTCGCTTCGCTTAGCTTCGCTTTGCTTAGCTTCCCTTAGCTTTTCTTCACTTCGCTTCGCTTCTCTGCGCTTAGCTTCGCTTCGCTTTGCTTAGCTTCGCTTCGATTCGCTTCGCTTTGCTTAGCCTTGCTTCGCTTCGCTTAGCTTCGCTTCGCTTCGCTTAGCTTCACTTTGCTTAGCTTAGATTCGCTTCGCTTCGCTTCGTTTAGCTTAGCTTCGCTTCGCTTCCCTTAGCTTCAGTTCGCTTCCCTTAGATTCGCTTCGCTTCGCATTGCTGCGCTTAGATTCGCTTTGCTTCTCTTAGCTTCGCTTCTCTTCGCATCGCTTCTCTTTGCTTCTGTTCGCTTTGCTTTGCTTAGCTTCGCTTCGCTTAGCTTTGCTTCGCTTAGCTGCGCTTAGATTTGTTGTGTGATGTGATCATATGCTTTCACATTCTTTCTGCCTCCCATCCCATGTTTTCAACTTGCACGTATGGTTTGACGACTTTTCTGTCCAGAATTTCGGATTTATATTTTGAGTAATTCTAGCTCCTAAGTTCACCTAGACTCTGTCCTTAATCCTAACAAGTGGTATCAGAGCGATATTAAGGATATTAAGAGGAGTCTACAGAAGTTTGAAGACTTTTCTAGGCCTACCATGGCCTGTGGGTGTGCCTAAGTGGTGTTCTAAAGGTTGGATGTGTCTTCTGCTAAGAGGAAACTCTGCCGAAATTTCGTGGACGCCGACACTTGTGAAAATATCGAGGGAGCTGAGTGTGGACAGCAAAGGGGAGCTGAAATTCGTCATTTCTCAAGGAGAAGATGAATGAGTGAGGAGGAGATGCTAATGGAAGAGGAGCTGTACCTGAGAAGACAAGTGAGCTGCCGCCATCAAAAGTTGAAGCTTTGGATGGCTCCAACTATGAGGAATGGAGCGGGCGGATGAGGAGTGCCTTCAAACGCTACAAGCTACTGGAGATTGCTGTTGGGGAGGAGAAGATGCCGGAAGAAGGCGAAGCACGTGAGCGGTGGATTGAGAAAAGCGCGGTGCTTTTTGACCTCATCCTTCAATCGGTCAACAAGGAGATGTTCGAGCACATCAAGGATCTTGTGGAAGCGGATGATTCGGGTCCAAGGGCGTGGAAACTACTACGCGATGTGATTCAGCCCAACACTCTCCCGCTGGTGATCGTGCTCGAGAAGGAACTTGCTGCCATCTCCATGCGACCAGGGGACGATGTGAAGCCGGTCCTTGACAAGATCAAGGACACCTATGCAAGGATGGCAGCAGTGTATCTCAGCTGCAGCAGTGCACCAAGATCATCTCGGTGTTGGACAACTCTTGGGACAACCTCATCCCCACCCTCAACTCTCAGCAAGATCAATGGACACCTGAGTGGCTAAGGCAGCAGATTCTGCAGGAGGACTTCCGCAGACGCCATGTGGGAGGTGGTGCTGCCACTAAGACTGCTGAGGGGTATGAGGATGTGCATGGGCATGGGAGTTCTGGTGGTAGGGGGAGTACCAGAATGGAGGGCACCTGCAGGTACTGCAAGAAGGTCGGACATCCTTGGTTCAAGTGCTTCAGCAGGCCGGAGGGATGGGCACCTCCAGGCATGTAGCCGCCAAATGGTGAACGCGCACAAGGTGGCGCTGTGCAAGGCTCAGGTGCACAAGGTGAAGGTGCACAAGGTAATACCTATCCTGGGATGTTTCTCATGGTTGAGGATGTGCATGGGCATGAGGGTGATGTGGGATCTGTAGGAAAGGTTGTGATGCACCCTCTCACGCACTGGGTGATTGATTCAGGTTGCACCAGTCACATGACCCCACGGGCAGATATGCTTGATGAGGTAAAACCCCCTGGAAAGATTAAGTATGTGGCAGCAGCGTCAGGTGTTTTGCTCCCTGTGATTGGTGTTGGGAATGCCAAGGTTAAGGGAGCTAATGGGGAGCTTGTGGGGCTTGGGAATGTTCTGCTGGTTGAAGGTTTGTGTGCTAACCTTCTCTCTGTGCGGCGACTGCAGAAGAGCAAGGCCGAAGTGACCTTTGGACCAACCAGCTGCCGTGCTAAGCTTGGGAAGAAGGTGCTGTGGAGTCTAAAAGAGGAGACCAGCTGCATCAAGGACCTGTGGCAGCTGCCCATCATCCTTTGGAATGGGAAAACTCCAACAGCAGCAACGGCAACAGCGGCAAAGGCAACAGCAGGAGGAGATGCAACTGCACCAACTGATGGGGTCCTGGAAGCAGTTAAGAAAGTGCAGCAGCAGCAGACACATGGTGAGGTGCTTGCTGGTGTGGATGCGAGTGCGGCATGGGCTAAGGCTTCATCAAGGAGTGGAGAGGCCGATTGGGAGACATGGCATGAGAGGCTGTGTAATGTGAACTTCCCTATGCTGCAGAAATTGGTGAAGGACGGGAGCCTGAAGGGCTTGGAGGTCAAGGGAGGAGTGAAGGAGATTGGGAGCTGCCCTACATGCTTGGAGACCAAGTTCTCCAAGTTCCCCTTCAACAGCACTACAGGACCAGCCAAGACCCCACTTGCACTTGTGCACATGGATGTGGTGGGGCCCACAAGAGCCCCTTCCCTCTCAGGCAACCGCTATTTCTTGACAATTGTGGATGACCACACTCGGGAAGTGTGGGTTTACCCTTTGAAGAGCAAGGGGGAGGTGGCAGCGGCTGTCCTTAAGGAGTGGATGCCTAGAGCTCAGAGGGAATGCGGACACAAGGTGAAGGTGATCCGCAGTGATAATGGTGGGGAGTTCATTGGAGCTGATTTTGAGGGGGAGTTGAAGAGGAAGGGGATCCAACATCAATTGACAGTGCCCTACAACGCGCAGCAGAATGGCGTGGCTGAGAGGTTCAACAGGACCATGTAGGAGGGGGCACGCACTCTCCTTGGGCGTGCAGGGCTGCCTGATCCGTTTTGGGTGTCTGCACTGAGGCAGGTCGCCCTTGTGAAGAACAGGGTGGTGGCTACAGTTGGGGATAAGGAGTGGATCCCATATACCAAGTGGTATGGGAGTGCTCCAGCTGTGAACATGCTGAGGGCATTTGGGTGCCATGTGGTGTTTCATGTGCCTAAGGAGAAAAGGGGGAAGTTGGAGGCTTCTGGAAGATGGGGTGTGCACTTGGGGATTGCAAAGGATCACAAGGGGTGGCTGCTATGGGACTTGACCACCCAGAAGTTGACAGTGTCAAGGGATGTGAAGTTTCTGGAGTCCCTGTACTACAAGGAATGGAAGCAGCAGCAACAGAAGCTTCCATCTACACCGCTCATTGTGGAGGCAGGCCTTCAAGACAGGTGGAGGTTGCAGTGTCTGAGGAGGAGATGTCTGGGGTGACTGAGGAAGGGGGAGCAGCTGAAGTGGAGCAGCAGCAGCAACAGCATGAGTCTCCACCTCGAGTTCCACACCCGCCTGAGCGATCTAGGAGGGATGTGCGCCCTCCGGTGAGGCTGACCTATGGGGGAAGAGGCAAGCCGAATGTGGTGCAGGCTGGGAGTGTGGTTGAGCAGATTGAGGAAGATGAGATTGCATTGTGCTATTGGGCTGCAATTCCTCAGCCAAAGGTATTGACGCTAGCTTCAACTCAGTGAAAGCGGATGGCACCAGCATTGGGGGTTATGTGTGCTTGCTGGGAGGTGGTGCTGTGAGCTGGCGCAGCAAGAAGCAGAATGAGGTGGGATTGTTCTCATGTGAGACTGAGTACATGGCCTTACACCATGGGGCCAAGGAAGTGGTGTGGCTGAGGCGCTTGTTGGAGGAGTTGGGAGTTGGTCAGGAGGAGCCGACAGTTGTCTTCTGTGACAATGAGTCTGCAGTGAAGCTGGCCAAGAATGCTTGTCTGCATGGGCTGACAAAACACATAAAGCCTAAGTGGCATTGGGTAAGGAGACTCCTTGATAAGGAGGTGCGGCTGGAGATAGTGAAGACCCATCAGCAGGCAGCAGATATTTTCACTAAGCGTCTGGCGGAGGCGGATCATTCGAAGGGCATGAAGCTTGCTGAGATGAGTGTGCATTGAGTATGCATGCTTGCGATGTGATATGGTGGATGATGGTTGGCAGCCAGAGGGGGAGATTCTTGTGTGATGTCATCATATGCTATCACATTCTGTCTGCCTCCCATCCCATGTTTTCAACTTGCACGTATGGTTTGACAGTGCATGAAAGAATTTGTGTGTGGTGTGTTATGGAGTTTGGGAATGTGTTTTGTGTTTTTTTGTTTGAGCAGGTATTTTGTGATGATAGATCTTGAGAAGATCTTTCGGACGCAACAAGAATCGCTTCAATCGGAGCAAGAACGCGAAAGCTATGAAGGTTCAAAGTTGATGAGCTTGCGTTATAATTGCGGCGGTTACAAAGTGAAATTGTGGGGTGACTTTATATGGAGTTGGGACTATTGGGAGTTGGGGAAATTCGTCACTCTACTGTAGCAGCTGCAAAATTGGTTGGGAACAACCAAGCTAGGTTGGCAAGGGTGGCCAACTTGGTTGGATTGGTTGGGAAGGGACAAATGTCAAAGTTGGGGTTCCTATAGGGAGGGAATCTTTGTGCTTATGGGGTTTCCTTGGTTGGGGACTCTCTTGGGACCTTCCCTCTCATCCCTCTCTTCCATCCCAACCTTTCTCTTGCTCCTCCAATTCCTTGTGAGATTCTTGAACTTTGATTGAACTTTTTGAGATTGAGTTAAGTTCTCCTCCTACAGCTTACCCCTCAGTGCGTCGAAAGACATAGCGTCGCGAATACTCCATCAATTGACATGATTCAAATTGAGAACGGTAGCTAAGATTACAAGCTACAACATATTCGATTTTCGAGACATTCAAACGGCTAGTGTTTTGTCGACGTCGTTTCTTGTGAAGACGACTTTTCTGTCCAGAATTTCAGATTTATATTTTGAGTAATTCTAGCTCCTAAGTTCACCTAGACTCCGTCCTTAATCCTAACAAGTGGTATCAGAGCGATATTAAGGACATTAAGAGGAGTCTACAAAAGTTTGAAGACTTTTCTAGACCTACCATGGCCTGTGGGTGTGCCTAAGTGGTGTTCTAAAGGTTGGATGTGTCTTCCGCTAAGGGGAAACTCTGCCGAAATTTCGTGGACGCCGACACTTGTGAAAATATCGAGGGAGCTGAGTCTCGACAGCAAAGGGGGAGCTGAAATTCGTCATTTCTCAAGGAGAAGATGAATGAGAGAGGAGGAGATGCTAATGGAAGAGGAGCTGTACCTGAGAAGACAAGTGAGCCGCCACCATCAAAAGTTGAAGCTTTGGATGGCTCCAACTATGAGGAATGGAGCGGGCACATGAGGAGTGCCTTCAAACGCTACAAGCTACTGAAGATTGCTGTTGGGGAGGAGAAGATGCCGGAAGAAGGCGAAGCACGTGAGCGGTGGATTGAGAAAAGCGCGGTGCTTTTTGACCTCATCCTTCAATCGGTCAACAAGGAGATGTTCGAGCACATCAAGGATCTTGTGGAAGCGGATGATTCGGGTCCAAGGGTGTGGAAACTACTACGCGATGTGATTCAGCCCAACACTCTCCCGATGGTGATCGTGCTCGAGAAGGAACTTGCTGCCATCTCCATGCGACCAGGGGACGATGTGAAGCCGGTCCTTGACAAGATCAAGGACACCTATGCAAGGATGGCAGCAGTGGGCAGCAGTGTATCTCAGCTGCAGCAGTGCACCAAGATCATCTCGGTGTTGGACAACTCTTGGGACAACCTCATCCCCACCCTCAACTCTCAGCAAGATCAATGGACACCTGAGTGGCTAAGGCAGCAGATTCTGCAGGAGGACTTCTGCAGACGCCATGTGGGAGGCGGTGCTGCCACTAAGACTGCTGAGGGGTATGGAGCTGCGGGGCGTGGCAGAGGAAGAGGGGGTTGGAGAGGCCGAGGCCATGGGAGGAGCTTTGGCAGAGGTAGAGGCCGAGGTGACTATAATGAGGGGCATGGGAGCTCTGGTGGTAGGGGGAGTACCAGAATGGAGGGCACCTGCTGGTACTGCAAGAAGGTCGGACATCCTTGGTTCAAGTGCTTTAGCAGGCCGGAGGGATGGGCACCTCCAGGCATGTGTCGCCAAGTGGTGAACGCGCACAAGGTGGCGCTGTGCAAGGCTCAGGTGCACAAGGTAATACCTATCCTGGGATGTTTCTCATGGTTGAGGATGTGCATGGGCATGAGGGTGATGTGGGATCTGTAGGAAAGGTTGTGATGCACCCTCTCATGCACTGGGTGATTGATTCAGGTTGCACCAGTCACATGACCCCACAGGAAGATATGCTTGATGAGGTAAAACCCCCTGGAAAGATAAATCTACAACAAGAACGGTAGCTAAGATTACAATCTACAACATATCCGATTTTCGCGACATTCCAACAGCTAGTTTTTCGTCCACGTCGTTCCTTGTGAAGATGACTTTTCTGTCCAGAATTTCGGATTTATATTTCGAGTAATTCTAGCTCCTAAGTTCACCTAGACTCCGTCCTTAATCCTAACAAGATTGCTTCGCTTCGCTTTGGTTCTCTTAGCTTCGTTTAGATTCGCTTAGCTTCGCTATGCTTCACTTCGCTTAGCTTCGCTAAGCTTCACTTCGCTTAGCCTAGATTCGTTTTGCTTCGCTTCCCTTAGCTTCGCTTCGCTTTGCTTCCCTTAGCTTCGCTTCGCTTCAGTTCGCTTCCCTTAGCTTCGCTTCGCTTCGCATAGCTGCGCTTAGATTTTCTTTGCTTCTCTTAGCTTCGCTTAGCTTCGCTTCGCTTCGCATACCTGCGCTTAGCTTCGCTTTGCTTCTCTTTGCTTTGCTTCTTTTCGCTTCGCTTCTCTATGCTTCTCTTCGCTTTGCTTCGCTTAGCTTCTCTTCACTTCGCATTGCTTTGCTTAGCTTCGCTTCACTTCTCTTCGCTTCTCTTCGCTTAGCTACGCTTCGCTTCGCTTCGCTTCTCTTAGCTTCGCTTCGCTTCGCTTAGCTTCTCTTTGCCTCTCTTCGCTTCTCTTCGCTTCGCTTCGCTTTGCTTCGCGTAGCTTCGCTTAGGTTTGCTTCAATTCCCTTAGCTTTGGTTCGCTTCCCTTAGCTTCGCTTCGCTGCGGTTCGCATAGCTGCGCTTAGCTTCGCTTTGCTTCTCTTAGCTTCGCTTCTCTTCGCTTCACTTCTCTTTGCTTCTCTTCGCTTCGCTTCGCTAAGCTTCGCTTCGCTTCTCATCGCTTCGCTTCTCTTTGCTTCTCTTCGCTTCGCTTCGCTTAGCTTCGCTTTGCTAAGCTTCGCTTCGCTTAACTTCGCTTCGCTTCGCTTAGCTTCCCTTGGCTTCGCTTAGCTTCGCTTCGCTTCGCTTAGATTCGCTTAGCTTTGCTTTGCTTTGGTTAGCTTCGCATAGATTCGCTTAGCTTCACTTTGCGTCGCATAGTTTCCCTTAACTTCGCTTTGCTTCGCTTAGCTTCGCTTAGCTTCGATTTGCTTAGCTTCGCTTCGCTTTGCTTAGCTTCGCGTAGCTTTGCTTCGCTCCGCATAGCTGCGATAAGCTTCGCTTTGCTTCTCTTTGCTGCTCTTTGCTTCTCTTCGCTTCGCTTTGCTTAGCTTCGGTTCCCTTCGCTTAGCTTCACTTTGCTTCGCTTAGCTTCGCTTCTCTTAGCTTTGCTTAACTTCGCTTTGCTTTGCTTAGCTTCTCTTTGAATAGCTTCGCTTAGCTTCGCTTGGCTTCGCTTCGCTTCGCTTAGCTTTGCTTGGCTTCATTTCGCTTCGCTTAGCTTCGCTTAGCTTCACTTAGCTTCGCTTAGCTTCACATAGATTTGTTTCGCTTTGCTTTGCTTTCCTTCGCTTTGCTTCGCTTCGCTTAGCTTCGCTTCGCTTCGCTTCCCTTAGCTTCGTTTCGCTTCCCTTAGCTTCACTTCGCTTCGCTTAGTTTCGCTTAGCTTCGCTTAGCTTCGCTTCCCTTCGCATAGCTGCGCTTAGCTTTGCTTTGCTTCTCTTAGCTTCGCTTCTCTTCGCTCCGCTTCTCTTTGCATCTCTTCGATTCTCTTTGCTTTGCTTCTCTTTGCTTCTCTTCGCTTCGTTTCACTTAGCTTTGCTTCGCTAAGCTTCATTTCGCTTAACTTCGCTTCGCTTCGCTTCGCTTCGCTTAGCTTCGCTTCGTTTCGCTTAGCTTCGCTGAGCTTCACTTCGCTTCGCTTAGCTTCGCTTCTCTTAGCTTCGCTTAACTTTGCTTTGCTTTGCTTAGCTTCGCTTCGCTTCGCTTAGCATCGCTTTGCTTCTCCTCGCTTAGCTTCACCTAGCTTCGCTTAGCTTCGCTTAGTTCCGCTAAGATTCGCTTAGCATCGCTTCGCTTCGCTTAGCTTTGCTTCGCTTTGCTTTGCTTCGCTTCGATTCACTGTCCTTAGCTTCGGTTCGCTTCTCTTCGCTTCGCTTCACTTCGCTTAGCTTCGCGTCGCTTCGCATAGCTTCGCTTCGCTTAGCTTAGCTTCGCTTAACTTTGCTTTGCTTCGCTTAGCTTTGCTTCGCTTCGCTTCACTTAGCTTCGCTTCGCTTCGCTTCGCTTCGCTTCGCTTCGCTTCGCTTCGCTTAGCTTCTCTTAGCTTCGCTTCGCTTTGCTTTGCTTCGCTTCGCTTCGCTTAGCTTTGCTTCGCTTCACTTCCCTTAGCTTTGGTTCACTTCCCTTAGCTTCGCTTCGCTTCGCTTCGGTTCGCTTCGCTTTGCTTAGCTTCGCTTCGGTTCGCATAACTTCGCTTAGCTTCGTTTCGATTCCCTTAGCTTCGCTTAGCTTCGCCTTGCTTCGCTTAGCTTCGCTTTGCTTCTCTTAGCCTCGCTTACCTTTGCTTCGCTTCGCTTAGCTTCGCTTCGCCTCGCTTCGCTTAGCTTCACTTCGCTTCTCTTCGCTTCTTTGAGCTTCGCTTAGCTTCGTGTTCGCTTCGCTTCGATTAGCTTCGCTTAGCTTCGTGTTCGCTTCGCTTAGCTTCTCATCACTTCGCTTCACTTGGCTTCGCTTAGCTTCATGTTTGCTTCGCTTAGCTTCCTGTTCGCTTCGCTTAGCCTCGCTTCGCTTAGCTTCGCTTAGCTTCGATTCGCTTCGCTTCGCTTAGCTTCGCTTCGCTTCGCTTCGCTTAGCTTCGCTTCGCTTCCCTTAGCTTCGGTTCGCTTCCCTTAGCTTCGCTTCGCTTCGCATAGCTTCGCTTCGCTTCGCTTCGCTGCGCTTCGCTTCGCTTCGCTGCGCTTCGCTTCGCTTCGCTGCGCTTCGCTTCGCTTCGCTGCGCTTAGCTTCGCTTTGCTTCTCTTAGCTTCGCTTCTTTTTGCTTCGCTTCTTTATGCTTCTCTTCGCTTCGCTTAGCTTCGCTTCGCTTCGCTTTGCTTCGCTTCCCTTAGCTTCCCTTAGCTTCGCTTCGCTTCGCATCGCTTCGCTTCGCTTCGCATCGCTTCGCTTCGATTAGCTTCGCTTCGCTTCGCTTAGCTTCCTGTTTGCTTCGCTTCGCTTAGCTTCGTGTTCGCTTCACTTAACTTCGCTTCGCTTAGCTTCGCTTCGCTTCGCTTAGCTTCGCTTCGCTTAGCTTCGCTTCGCTTCGCATAGCTTGGCTTAGCTTAGCTTCGCTTCGCTTAGCTTCGCTTAGCTTCGCTTACCTTCGCTTCGCTTTGCTTAGCTTTGCTTGGCTTCGCTTACCTTCGCTTAGCTTTGCTTAGCTTCTCTTAGCTTCGCTTAGCTTCTCTTAGCTTCTCTTAGCTTCGCTTCGCTTTGCTTAGCTTCGCCTAGCTTCGCTTAGCTTTGCTTCACTTCGCTTTGCTAAGCATTGCTTCGTTTCACTTTGCTTCGCTTCGCTTCGCTTAGCTTCGCTTAGCTTCGATTCGCTTAGCTTCGCTTAGATTCGCTTAGCTTCGCTTCGCTTCGCTTAGCTTCGCTTCGCTTCGCTTAGCTTCGCTTAGCTTAGCTTAGTTTTGCTTAGCTTCACTTTGCTTTGCTTAGCTTCGCCGAGCTTCACTTCGCTTCGATTAGCTTCGCTTCGCTTCGCTTAGCTTCCTGTTCGCTTCGCTTAGCCTCGCATCGCTTAGCTTCGCTTCGCTTCGCTTAGCTTCGCTTCGCTTAGCTTCGCTTCGCTTCGCTTAGCTTCGCTTCGCTTTCCTTAGCTTCGGCTCGCTTCCCTTAGCTTCGCTTCGCTTCGCTTAGCTTCGCTTCGCTGCGCTTCGCTTCGCTTCGCTGCGCTTCGCTGCGCTTAGCTTCGCTTTGCTTCTCTTAGCTTCGCTTCTTTTTGCTTCGCTTCTTTATGCTTCTCTTCGCTTCGCTTAGCTTCGCTTCGCTTCGCTTTGCTTCGCTTCGCTAAGCTTCCCTTTGCTTCGCTTTGCTTCGCATTGCTTCGCTTAGCTTTGCTTCGCTTCTCTTCGCTTCTCTTCGCTTCGCTTCGCTTTGCTTCGCTTAGCTTCGCTTTGCTTCACTTCGCTTCGCTTCGCTTCTCTTAGCTTCGCTTAGCTTCGCTTCGCTTAGCTTCGCTTTGCCTCTCTTCGCTTCTCTTTGCTTCGCTTCGCTTAGCTTCGCTTCGCTTAGCTTCGCTTCGCTTAGCTTCGCTTCGCTTAGCTTCGCTTCGCTTCGCTTCTCTTAGCTTCGCTTAGCTTTGCTTTGCCTCTCTTCGCTTCTCTTTGCTTCGCTTCGCTTAGCATCGCATAGCTTCGCTTCGCTTTGCTTAGCTTCGCTGCGCTTCGCTTCACTTAGCTTAGCTTCGCTTCGCTTCGCTTCGCTTCGCTTAGCTTCGCTTATCTTTGCTTTGCTTCGCTTAGCTTCGCTTTGCTTAGCTTCGCTTCGCTTCGCTTAGCTTCGCTTCGCTTCGCTTAGCTTCAATTTGCTTTGCTTGGCTTTGCTTCGCTTCGCTTTGCTTAGCTTTGCTTTGCTTCGCTTTGCTTCGCTTTGCTTCGCTTAGCTTCACTTCCCTTAGCTTTGGTTTGCTTCCCTTAGCTTCACTTCGCTTCGCTTAGCTTCGCTTCGCTTCGCATAGCTGTGCTTAGCTTCGTTTTGCTTCTCTTAGCTTCGCTTCTCTTCGCTACGCTTCTCTTTGCTTCTCTTTGCTTCGCTTCGCTTAGCTTCGCTTAGATTTGCTTAGCTTCCCTTCGCTTCGCTTTGCCTCTCTCCCCTTCTCTGTGCTTCGCTTTGCTTAGCTTTGCTTATCTTTGCTTTGCTTCGCTTAGCTTTGATTCGCTTAGCTTTGCTTAGCTTTGCTTAGCTTCTCCTAGCTTCGCTTCGCTTTGCTTTGCTTTGCTAAACTTCGCTTAGCTTTGCTTTGCTTCACTTCCCTTAGGTTTGGTTCACTTCCCTTAGCTTCGCTTCGCTTCGCATAACTTCGCTTAGCTTCGTTTCGATTCCCTTAGCTTCGCTTAGCTTTGCCTCGCTTCGCTTAGCTTCGCTTCGCTTCTCTTAGCTTTGCTTACCTTCGCTTTGCTTCGCTTCGCTTCTCTT